TGTGTTTTATTTTATATACCCACTAGAGTACAGTATCTCCTTCTCCTTTGGCTTCACCACTAGCTTCAAAATCTTCTTCTTTTTGTTGACATGAATTTCATTTTCCACAGCCTTCTCCCAGTCTTTTCTTGATTTGCATTTTAAAAATTTCTTGGCTCGAGAATGCTAAAATTGCAAGTAGCATATACTTTCCTATTGATTCAGCTGACTCACATACTCCTCATTATTGGAAGCTCCTTGGTTTGCAACATGCTTTTTCTTTCCATTTTTAAGACCCATTTTGATATAACAGTACATCACAGTTAATCATAATCTTATTGGTTCTTAAATATATAACTTGTAACCTTTTGATTTTGAACAGTAGCCAACAATGATGTATTTTTCACGTACTGCTTCTGGCTTTTTTCGATCATCTTTTGGAAGATGGGCATATACGATGTTTCAAAAGATTTTTTAAGTTTTTAACTGACCTCTTGTGTCCACTTCATGTTTCTATAGGTGTTTAACCATTAAAACCTTGCGACTCTCTACTTGGTCAAGTATACAGCTGTTTAAATTGCTCCTATTATTCTTGAAATATGTATCGATGTGCATATTACATGCCCACGGTGCTTCTTTCAACCCATAAAGCATCTTCTTCAATTTTAGCACCTTCTTCTCTTCTCCAGCTTTCACATATCTGGGTGGTTGCTCGATATAGATATCTTCTTCAAGTACCCCATTCAAGAATGCCGATTTGACATCCATTTGATATAACAGCCATTTCAATTGAGCAGCTTGTGAAATGAGCAATCGAATAGTCTCAATTCTTGCAACATTAGCAAATACCTCGTCATGGTCAATTTTTGCCCTTTTCTTGTATCCCTTTGCAAAATGTTGCGCCTTGTATCTTTCTATCTCCCCTTGAGCATTCATCGTTTTCTTGAATACCCACTTCACTCCAATAGGTTGATTTCCTTCTGAGAATTCCGTTAAATCTCATGTGTTGTTGTGGTTAATCGCCTCAATCTCCTCGTTCATGGAAAGTTGCAATTTTTGTCACGCACCGCCTCTTCAAAGCTGATCTTTTCAGAATCTATCAAAAGACATACAAGGTGTACCTCATTAGTCGAATCTTACAACTCTTGCACGTTCCACATTCGGGGATGTCTTGGTTCATCTTCATCATCGAAAATTTCAGCATGTATGGTGTAGCAATTGATGATTCTCCCACTCCATGAATAGCCTCCACAAAAGCATTCCAATCCCACTCGCTTGCTTCGTCTACTCGCACATTACGGCTCACCATCACCTTCTTGCTTATTAGGTTGAGAAACTTGTATCCTTTTGTCTTCTTATCATATCCAACGAAAACATACTTTTTGCTTTTGTCTTCAAGCTTCATTCTTCGTTGATCCGGTACATGTGCATAAGCCACACTACCGAACACTTTGAGATAAGACATCGTTGTCTTTTGTCCGCTCCACGCCTCTTGAGGTGTTTGATCATGTAGTTTTGCATGTGGATATCTATTTTGTATATAGATGGCACATCGTACAACTTCCGCCCAAAACTCCTTTGGCATCATTTTGCTCTTGAGCATTAATCGAACAATGTCAAGAATAATTCGATTCTTTCTTTTGTCCACTCCATTTTGTTGAGGAGAGCATGGTGCAGTAAGAAATCTTCTTATGCCTTGCTCCTCACAATACTCCAATAAAGCCCTCCAAATATACTCGCCACCTCGATCGGATCGTATGGCTTTGATATGTCTACCAATTGCCTTCTCCACCATCACTTTGAATTTTTTGAAAACCTCAAATGCCTCGGATTTCTCTTTCAAAAAATAAACCCAAGTTTTTCGTAAGAGATCATCAATAAAGGAAATGAAGTGCCTTTTGCCGCTGAAAGATTCGCGGATGATTGGTCCACATATATCTTAATGAATCAACTTCATAAGAAATTTAGCTCGATATTCCGCCTTGTTTTGAAATGATGTTCTTGCTTGCTTTCCAAACACACATTCTTCACAAAATTTTCCATCATAATCCATGTCCGGGAGCCCGTGCACCATATTCTTCTTTGCTAGCTCTTTTAGACCACCACGATGTAGGTGACCATAACAAAGATGCCAAAGTGACGCCTTGTTTTCTATGTTGACTTGCAAACACCTTTCTTACAAGCTTTTCAAATTCAATTTGTACATCTGATTTCTTCCAATCTCAACTTGAGCAATCAAATGCCCTTTTTTGTCCTTCAAGAATAGCACCGATCTTTTAAAAATATCGAGTAGCCTTTTTTTTTCGTGAGTTGCCCCATACTAAGAATGTTGGTCTTAAAATTTGGTACATAATGAACATCTTGGATTGACCCAATTAAGCCATCATCTTGTAAGTAACGAACCGTACATCGTCCTTTGACCTCCACTTTAGATGCATCTCCAAAGGACACACAACCATCTTCAATTTTTTGCATCTCCTTGAATAGGTGTTTGTGTCTGCACATGTGGTTGCTCGCCCCCGAGTCGAGGTACCAAAAAGTGCCATTGTTGATGTTGCCTTCTTTTTGAGCCATCAAGAGAAAGTCTTCTTTTTCTTCATCTTCCACACATAGGTTGGTCGTTTCTTCTATCCCTTTTTTGGCTCGACAATCTTTTGCAAAATGTCCCACTTGATGGAAAATTAAATTAAATTTTAATTAAATGCTAATTGAATTGGTTAATTAAATATTATTAATGAATAATTTGAATTTGAATTTTGAATTAGAAGTTAACGAGGGTAATAAATATATTTATGGTAGTAGTTTGGATTGTTTATATATATATATATATGATGTGTAAGTAAATCGACATATATATATTTGTTGAGTGAATATTTCTTGATTATCCAAATATATTTTATTATTCTCCTTTTATTTTATATAATTTTCCTTCACCACTCAACCACAATTATAGCAATTATCAAAATTGCAATCTTTTGCATAGTGACCATACCTATGACACTTGTAGCACTGAATATTATAATTGTTTGATTGGCCGCCGCTTCCTCGACCACGTCCTCTACCCTGCCAATTCAGTTGGCTTAGTTGTCCCTCTTCATGACTACTGCCTCAACCACCATGACCACTTCCATGAACTCCACGTCCACGCCGTCTTCCTTGGAAATTTTGAGAATATAGTACCTTATCTTATTTAAGTGACGCCTTGGTTTGAAGCGCTTGCTCAAGTGTCTCCTCCTTCTTTTTTTGCACTGTTTGTGTGCCTTGAGAGAACCAACAATTTCATCTACCATGAGTGTCGCCAGGTCCTTTGACTCTTCAATCGCACAACATTCTCAAAATTATCGGTTAATGATCTTAATATTTTTTCAACAACTCGCGCATTGGTTAAATTTTCTCCATTACGAACAAGCTGGTTTACTATGGATTGCACACAAATAATATAGTCGGATACACTTTCAGACTCCTTCATTTTCATCCTTTCCAATTCGCCACGAAGAGTTTGGATACACACTTGCTTGACACGGTCGGCTCCTTTGAATGTTCTTTCTAAAATATCCCACGCTTCTTTTGAAGTTGTTGCACCGGCAATCTTCTCAAAGCCCGACTCATCAACAACTTCAGCCTTATCCTTTGATCGCATTTTTCAACCCTTTCTGTTGAGCCGCCGTATATCCTGCCGTACTCTCCGGTTCTTCGAAACCTTCATGAACTACCTCCCATGCATGTTGAGATCCAAGAAGCGCTTTGATTTGAATACTCCAATTCTTGTAATTTGGCTTTGTCAAAATTATCGAATATGTCGACAAGCACACACACCAACGCAAACACAAACTTATGGAGACAAAACACATAAAAAAATACTAAAGAATGAAGACAAAACACTTATATTTCCTCTTCAAATTAATCCTTACATGACACACAAAAATACACCAATGGACTACATTTTAAAGCACACAAACGACGTAGGATACTTCAAAAATTACAAGCACATTTAATCCTATCATAAATTGCATTATTCTAGTGTAATATCTATCCTTTAACACCCACTATTCTAGTAAAACTTTCATTCATTATATGTATTTTAATACCCACTAACCACACAATTAAACACCGAATGTAACACCAAATTAAAATTTCATTTAAGGTTATTCAACTAGGAAATGCCTTTTTTTTATATATATATACATATATATATGACTTTTGGTTCTTATTTTACGATTATTTTTCATTATCAATTGCAGATATTATCATGACGCTGCTTGTGTGTTGAGGAAGATGTTCCTCGATGCAAAAGCTCCACATCTTTCTTCAACAATACCTCCAACTCTACCATGGGAGGTCAGCCAGTGAACCAGTTCAACCATCAGAAGGACTAACTTGTCAAGGCAGTGGGAATATTGGAACATTTGGGCAAGCTGAAGATCTGCAGTGTGTGATCGCTATTTTCGTCAGTAAGACAAGTCACTTCTTCTCTATCTTCCATTTTATTTTGCAGCTTTTGAGACACCCTTTATGGCTTAATTCCCTCATGACTGCTAATTATTCTTCTGATACTTCCTCTTTCTTACTCTATGTACTGCTTTGACCACATCTTATATGCTTTGTGATCTGAGTGTAATTAAAAAATATGTGAGCTTTCTTTGTTTTTCAGACCCCATTGTTATTTATTTTCCCTACGTCTTTTTTCTTTTATTGAACTTAAGTGTAACATTTTTTTTTTCAACATTTTGTTGGACCTTAAATGTGTATCTATCTAATTATTGGCTTCAGTTTATTCGTCCAGAACCAAGATATTTTATATTAAACAAGTGTATTCATGCACATGTTTAATGTATAAGTACTGCAAAGTCAAACTATCTGGATGCCTAATTTGAACTTACTCTAATTCATGATTAAAAATCTTAAGACATATATTATATATCCATACATTTAAAGTAAGAATTAGATAGTTCCAACATTATTACATATTCTATAGACGTTTTGATGAGAATGAGAAGCACATATGCAATATACAAGTTTCTTCAATCATGAGATTGTTCAGAAATTCTGTCTTTTTTACCTTGGGCCTCCATGACTTTCTTTCTTCTAAAATACGTCTTTAGAAGTTTGGAACGCCCATTTCCCTTCCGAAAATCTTCAATTACTTTTGGATCCATCCTTCTGACACGACCACAATGCTTGGAAACTCTCTGAGTGGTTTCCTCGGCTACTTCAGCTTCTGTAATAATCTGGAGCAGTTCTGATGGTAGAGCTGCTGGGTTGAGCTCATAGCACCCCTCAGGTGCACCTTTATCCTTCATCCCATCCAGCTTAAACATTGGCACCTGATGGGGGAATCTGAACATCTCTTCCTTCAGAATTGTCCAAACTACATTGTGGTCAGGGATTCAGCGGAAGAGAGTTGTGAATCCAACCACTTTAACAAGAGATACAACCAAGACTCCATGATCTTCATTGTAATCTCCGAGCACCTCCGCCACTTCGTATTTATGAAGTACATCCTTTTCAGTGTCAAAGTTCCATTGGAAGGACCAGTTTTTGTAGATTGCCCAAACATCTTCATTTGCTGGAAATATTTGAATCACTCCTCTCGGACCCTTCTTCCATCGTCTCACTGGATGAGAGAATGAATTTAACCTGTTCATTGTTATTGATTTCCCCACCAGGAAATTTCCAAGAGTCTTTGTGAATCCAGAAGCAATCTACTCAAATCATCCAAACTCAGATGTGTATTTGGAGTTCAACCAACAGATTACGAGATGAAAAGGTGATCTGGATATCACGTTATGAACCAAGGCATAATAGCGAGGCATATCATCATCTTCGTCATATGCAGCCCAAACCTGATCGCTTGAGAAGGAATTCTCCACTCTTTCATTTTCGAAATTGTTAAAGTTGGCATCAGGCACAGACATTGATACAGTTTCATCGTGACAGGCTTCCACATCATGAGCTTTCACATTCAGATCAGGAATTGTGTCACCATAGGGAAATGGCACACTTGTTGAAGTAGCACACTGATCCTCAAATCATATGCATTTCTTCTCTCCTTTTCAGACAGTACACTCCACGCCTCCGATAATATGTGAAACGCACCGTCTGCCCCTACTGACTTGTTCTTATCAGGGTGCAGGGAGAGTGCCAATTTTCGGTGCTGTCTCCTGAGTGTATCATCATTAGCTGATGAGTCAACTCCCAATATTCCGTAGTAATTAGGAGCGTTGTGTATCTTTTGGCTGCTAGCGATGTGTATATGGATGATCTCAACGAACTACGGCAACCCATCCAGTCCCGGAAAGAGGCTATGAACCTTCAAAGCTAATCTCTGGGCTCCTTGAAAGTCTCTTTCCAGAAATTTCTTTTCTGCCATTTTTGGCATCATCCTTGTTGCATTCCATTTTTGGCGTTTTCTTCACCTCAAACACTGCACTCATAGTTAACAAGAACACATATGAGAGAAAGGAAAATAAGACTTGATAAGAATCCAGAAAAAATCTTTGAGGAATATTATCATTAAATGTTGGTTCTAAATTATGGTGGTGCCGTAATATGTTAGGTTGCGCAACATCTGAGTTACTATTTTTCTTCCCATGTACGATCTCATTTTAAAAAGTTGATGATGTCCTCAAGTATAAGTAAATAGCATAATGCATATTAGCTGAATTTCCGATTCAAGAATATTTTGGAGCCAAAATTGCTACTACTTTCGGTGTACAGAAAAAATTAAATAAACATATGGATCCCCAAATAGCTTGTTTCCAACTATTCTCTAACCACATGCTTTTCGAATCATCTATTATTCAATGTAATTCTCCAGATTGTAACAATGATTGCCTTCTAAACTTCATAATAGTTCAAAAGTGAAAATTCTTATTCTCAACCAATTCAAAGAGTTTTCCGATCTAATTGCAGCCTTGAAATCGAATATCCAAAATCCTCATAGTTAAAAAGAGCACATATGAGAGAAAGGAAAATAAGACTTGATAAGAATCCGAAAAAATCTTTGAGGAAAATTATCATTAAATGTTGGTTCTAAACTATGGCAGTGCCGTAATATGATTTAGATTGCGCAACATCTTAGTTATTATTTTTCTTACCATGTACAACTTCATTTACAAAAGTTGATGATGTCCACAAGTATAAGGATAAGTAAATAGCATAATGCATATTAACTGAATTTTCGATTCAAGAATATTTGTGGAGCCAAAATTGCTACTACTTTTCATGTACAAGCAAAATTATACAAGAATATGTGTGGAGCCAAATATCTTGTTTCCAACTATTCTCTAACCACATGCATTTCGAATCATTTATTATTCAATGTAATTCTCCAAATTGTAACAATGATTGACTTCTAAACTTCATAATAGCTCAAAAGTGAAATTCTTATTCTAAATCGATTCAAAGAGTTTTCAGATCTAATTGTAGCCTTGAAATCGAATATCCAAAACCACCTGCTGATAGAGAATCACAGAATTTGTAAGTACTTGTCCAAAAAAGTTAAAATCCCAAATATAATTTGCTCTTCAAAATAAATTTATTCACAAATCAGATGCAAGGGAAAATCGTAAATTGAAAAGAAGTGAAAAACGAAAGGGGGAAACCTGAAGGGCAGAAATAAAATTGAATAAAGACAACGGAAATGGGCATTGCAGTTAACGAAGAACCCTAATTTCCCAAAATCATAAAAAAAAAAAAAAAAGAACACATGCATAATCATACGGTTTCTCACAAATTTTTAGAATACATTACAGAGATTCTTGAGTGAAAGAATCATTGATCAAGTTACGACCCAAAACAAGCCTTGATTCAGAAAATCGTTCACATATCTGAAATTACCTTCTTTGAAAGCTGTGTGCTTACTGGAAGAAACGCTATGTGAAAAATTTCTGCCCTAAAAATATGGAACAACAGCAGATTTTAAATACTCAGATGAAGAAGATAAACTAACCAAAATGGTGTCTTTGGAGAACAGAAGAGTGTTTTCCAGAAATCCCGATGAAACTTGATTTCGTAAGTATTTTTAGAATGAAGAAACAACATACAACTTCTTGTTTTAGAAGTAAAGTCAGCCTACCATTTTTATGGCAGTTTTACAAATCTGTGACCATAATTTTAACCCTGTTTAGTTATGTACCAAACAGGCATAGAAACATAATTACAAAATGCTAGAGCATTTCAGTTGGTAAAATTTTTGTTATCTAGCTTCAAATTATGCTTGAACTTTTTATGACATAATTGTATCCCACAATTAGAATGAAATTAAATTAAATTTCAAGTAACACATGAACCTCCCCAAATACATTAATTAACACGACATTATAAGTTCAAAGACACTTTCCTGCTATTTATTTCATATATATTTTCTAAATTGATGGTTTCATATCTTTCAAAGGTAAGGCAATGGTGATCGGCAGCTCTACAGAACCAGAAAGTGCAACTGAGTTAGAAGTTGCAGAATCACAAAAATTCTTTCAAGGAGATAAGGTGTAGCCATAACTCAATTCTTTTCAAATACATTGCATCATTTCGTGACAATAAAATGCAATAGTGGAGGAAGTCTCCAAATCGCATTGATGAAAATGGAATATATGTAATCTGCTGCACTAGAATACTCATCAGTTTGTTGTAGAACTCCGCAGCCCAAATGGAGCTGAAGTGCCGTGGTTATCTGCAACAACAAACTTTTTTGTTCTATAGCACTATCTCACTATATATAGGTGTAGTGTGTGCGTGCATGCGATCTCATACGTATACATATACATATGTTCACATTTAATCTCATACAGGAAAATAATGCATTGTAAATTTATACAGCAATACAAAGTGCATATACCAGGGGACAACCATCACCTGAAAAAGAGTGTGAAGTTGCCATGTTAATGCGTAGTGGTGCTTTTTTAATGCGTGTTTTGGATAGGTCAATGTGCATGGAATGATTTCCATGGATTTTGTTACTTACTATTCCAAAATGGGATGATTTTGGTGACAAAAAATCACAAGATATGTACTACCAATTACATTTTCATAATTATATAGCAACGAACAGTGCAACAATCTCGTGACCCTAGTCTGTTCCTGGAGATTCTGGCATTGTTATGGTCTTTTAGTAACAAATACTAAAACAATAGTAGTGAATATTTTTAACCCTAAAACTTGACAACAATTGATTTATAGTAAATGCTGTTGCAAGGAAGATTACATCATATTTTTCAAAATTTTTGGTGACAGAAGAATAAATAATTAAATATTGTTTAAATTCTCTATGAAAAGAGATTGTGACAAACTTGACTATTCTTTGGTAACTTAATAATTGCTGCTGAAGTTCACGACCATACAATTAATTGATCAAAATAAAATAATGTCTTAGTTTTGTCAAAAAAAAAAAATTGTGATAGTTTTATTAAATGCATAAATATTTATATTTAAAATTAATTAGTTGTAAAATTTTATATTTATACATTTGTATACATTTTTCCAAATTATAATGTAAACGCAAGCTAACAAAATGGCACTATATACAGCCATTAATTATATATCGGCAAACGGGAGTCTCCAACAATGACGGATACAATCTCACGCGCAATGATAAAAATCACAAAAAAGTGATACATGTGGAATATGTTTTAATTGTCATCATGGCAAATTATATTCTATATGTGTCGCTTTTTTTGCAATTTTTATCCTCTAGTCAGTGCGTCAAATTCAAGACGGTGTTGGTGCGAGTGGGATAGTGCTCCGGAGGACGAAAATCTGGAAAAAACGATAATGGAACATAGGTACAACGTGACACCCCGCCCCGCAAGCCAGACATGTTGGGATTGTAGACTAGCCCCACAAGTCAACAAAAGTCCTTTGAGTGCGCTTCTGTCCTCACTCACGCACACCATGAGAGACTTTTGTCATCAAATTATTCTAAGTAAACAAGTTTAACTCTAGAGTTCTTTCAACAGGGCTTTTGAAAAGGAATGTGCACATTGTTAACATGAGTAGTCTATTCAATCCAATATTCAACCCCTGATAGAATGACACCGGCTCATCCATGGAAGTTGACCTAGCACTGGCCCAACTCCGGGCGTATTACATCTCTCAAGCCACGCGAAGCCGAGCATGTCTTGATTGTAAACTAGCCCCACAGGTCAACACGAGTCCTTCCAATGCACTTCTGTCCTCACTCTAGAGCAAGCACGCTAAACTCCAGAGTTCTTTCAGTAGGGCTTCCAAAAAGTAATGTACACATTAATCACATGAGTAGTCTATTCAATACATTTAACCTATATTCAACATCGGATGACCGGTGCCAACTCCGGGGGTATAACATACGGGTTTCAATTTTCTTAGTAAATCATCTAATGTCTGTACATTTTTATAGGATTGAGAAGGAAACAAGGTATCAGTCATTTTATCTATATTAATAATCTGCTTCCTCATTGAAATAATTTTTCACGCATTTACCGACGCATTGAAATAAAATTTTGGCTTTCACTCATGCAGCATAGATTTTGTCATTTATTGGACTATTTGATTTTTATTTTCGGAAACTCTATTTTTTCGTATTGTATAACCCACGGTAAGTTATCTTGCCATTACTTCATCTTCAAAAAATCTTCTCGAATGAATTTGAAGTGTACTCTTTCCCTCAATCACACTTTAATGTCTTATTTAACAATCCACTTTACTTTTCAAAAAAAAAATATAAATTTATTGATTTTTTTTTTTTTTAAATATGGTGAATGCCTCTATTTTTCCTCATTAAAAATACTTGAACGTTGTTGATGCAATGCAAAAATTATTTGTTACTTCCATGAGATGTTGTCCTTATTGGTCCAACAATATTGGTGTGAACTAATTCTAGAATTCCTTTACAATCTATACACGGCCATTTTCCTCTATAATATTTGGTAAATTATATGCTATTCCTTTCTTCTGTAGCAATTTCAGGTTGTGGAATTCAAATGTCCATACCTTTTATGCCAAACCAATGACATTGGACTGGTATGCACATTGAAGCTTGGTCATCACAATATCCGACTTGGTCATATTTAAATTTGATGGCATAGCTCCGGTTATTCTATGACGGGTCACACGACCAATCAAATAATTATTTTTTAACTACAATCACAATGTTAATGTAATATAATGAAATGAATCATATCCATAGAGATCTGCGTGATAATAATACGTTCGGATTTAGCAAAAACTAAGAAGGGGTAACTAACTAAATTCTAGAATATAACTAAAATTCCTTAAATTAAAGAATCAAAATGCTATAAAAAAGAAATAAACTTATATAATATAAAATCTATTCCAAAGAATGATTTCAGAATGAAACTTGAATTAGATAATTGATTTAACTAAAAATAAATCTCAATATGATTGATAAATCAACAAGCTTTAACATTCAATTTTTCCTTAGAAATAGCTGCGCCCAAGG